TGTAATATTTACTATTTACACTTGCAAAGCAAGCCAAAAACAAAGAGCAAATTTGGGACACATCACATTTTGGCCTGGTGTTACATATTTTAGGAAAAATCAAACATTAATAAAAGAATCTTATTCTTTAGATGCTGACCTTTCACTAATGAATCAAAAGTTTAGTCCATAGTGAATTATTCCAAGCAAGGCTCCTTATTCTTTCATTGTATTATATTTGGAGCAACAGATTTTGAAAGGAATCTTTAAGACATTTGGAAAGTTAGAAAAAAATATTCATTTTCTATTTTAATTTAGGAAGTTCTTAGTGTTTAAATCAAAATTTATGAGGATGGTGTGGTTGAAAAAGGCCCAGTGGATTTTGGTTGTCTAATTTCACATTCACTAAATACTAGCATAAATACGGTATATGTTTCTGCTTTGGAATTTTTTTTCCTAAAAGGTACTACCTAAAATTATCAGTGTCTTAAAGACTTAATCATAATCTGTGGATTTAATATATTTGTATCTGTATGTTAATAAAATCTGTCAATTCAAACTAAAAACAAGAGCAAAGATCATTTTATTGTTCAATGTGTCTTGTTTCAAGTAATTCTTTGCATTTGTTAACATACATTTGAAATATGCTGAGCTACTTAAAAATATTCAATAAATGCACTTGCTTCCCCCACCACAATTATTAGGCTTCTCATTAAAGCTATCAAGCTACAGTATAAAATCAAAGCCAACCTATTGGTAAATGAACAATGAAATTAAATTTTCAGAAGCATAAAGTTGCATTTCAGATCCTAATATGTATCTATTTCCTGAAGTATTTAAAATAATACTTTATTAGCAATAATGAATCAAAACATTTTGGAGATAAATGGTGATGGCTGCACAATTCTATGAGTGTAATTAATGTCACTGAATGCTTAAAAATGATTGAAATAGAAGATTTTATGTTAAATATATTTTACTACAATTTTTCACAAAGAATGGAAAATTTTTTTAAGTCAGATATTAGACTATTTATAAGAATAATGAAAGATATTTCTGTGGTTCATTAAAAATAAAATTTTTAAAATTTGAAGTTAAAAAGTAATATGTGCGTCATCTTGTTTTTAATTCCCACCATCTATGCCAGTTAAATTTATTTTTACACTTTTTGTAGGACAGATAACTTTACTAGTCATTTGAAACATAAAACTGTATATAAGAATTTGAATTCTGTACATCAAAGTTTTTCTGAGAACTCTGTTGTTCTCAGAAGTCATGTCTTATATAAATCATGGGGCAGGATAGACAGCTTTCCAAAAAGTGTGATGAACACATGTGTACTCTCTTCTAGTGGGAAAACAGCAAAATGGTGCTTCAATCATTTGACCTCTAAATTTTAAAAATTATTGGTTTGTTTCTGCTTTTGTTTACATAGTGCTTCATTTCCTTTTTTAGATTTTTCTGTAAGGATTATTCATATGTATATATAAAACACTGTTTTAGCAAAATGTGAATCATTGTGATAGACATTTTTGTAATAATAAGTTAAACCAGGCAAGTAACTAGGTCTAAGCAATGAATTTGCTTGTCATTACCTGGCATTGAGACACACTGATAGCTTGGTTTTAACATTAGCCTCAGCATCGTATTAAACACATCAGGAAAAGAAAGAGCCAGTAATGTAAATCATGTATCCATTCTGTCTGGCCTCTGAGAGTCTCTGAAATAATTTAGATCATTCTCTTCCCAAAATTTCTTCCTGACATATTTATTGAAGGCAATAAATGAAATATTTAAAGAAATTGGAACTTAGAACTGGAAAAAATGATCAAGTGTCCTGGTAACTAAGACAGCCAGAAAATGAATAGAAGAGGAAATGAAAATAGTGCAAAAACATAACTCAAGTGATTTGGGCACAACTTGTTAAAATGATTAAGATGATTAGAAGACAGTCAACAGTTTAGATAGTTTCTATCAGTTTTAGGTGTGCCACCATTCAGAGTGATCACGACAGTCCAATATTTCCAATTTCTGGGCTTTTATTTTAGATTTAAATTTTAAGCATATTTAATTTCGTATTAGCACATGAATTTCATACCATGTTTTCTTAAACCATGAGTATAATTTTAATACAACCAAGTGAATTAAAAAATTTCTTCCCTGTAGAAACATAAATATAATTTTAGAATGGAACTAAATAATATCAGAGTCTATAGGCAAAAAGAAAACCTACTTACATATGAATTCATAAGCCATAGCTAATATATACACTTTTAATTGAACATTCTAAAGTCATCAATATTTCTATAAAAGCATTCACTAGTCTAATGAAATTCTGTTCTTAAATTATACTTTTCCATACACTGTTTTTCCAAATGTCTGTCAGTCTCATTTCAAAAAAAAAAAAGGAGAAGAAGAAGCCCTAAAAGCACTAGTTACATTCTCAATAAAGTAGGTTGGCCCAAGGCCTCCACAAAGCAGCCAGGTTGGATCCACCCATCTTTCTAGGGCCCCATGGGTCAAGTTACTTTGTGCTATGTCCAACACAAATACCTTTTTGAAACTTGGTTTTTATCATAATTCAATATGTACACTTGTCTTCTTTGAATTATTTTCCCCAATTTGAATGCTTTTAAATAACTGTTTCCTCATTCTCCATCTCAAACTGCAACCAGAAAATATCTTACTCATTTCTTTCTCGTTTATTCATTTGTTTATTTTATTATTTTTGGAAGTATTGAGGTTAGAGCCTCCTGCCCACTAGGCAGGGGCTTTATCAAACTTGAGCCATCCCAGCCTTTTTATTTTTAAATTTCAGTTTTCATCTTTTAAGACCCTAAGTAATAAACATTCAAGTGGCCTTCTGTGGAATGTTTTGTCATTATAAGCTCTGAACCAGTTTGCATGATAGATAAAGTGATTCATTTTAGAAATTCCTATGAGCTGTCCAAATACTGTATCAGACAATAATTTTCTTTTGTCGTACAAAGATAAGTTGACTTATTTTCAGAATTGTTCCTTTAATTAACAGGAGACATATTATGTATATTGTTCTTACTGAAAAAGCAGTAAGAACTTACAAATGTTAAGCTCATAGAGTGAAAACTCACATTAACTCTAAAAGAGATTTATTTAAAAAATAGGATCTGACTTGGACAACAGATTTAACTGTGCTATTTACTGCTATTATCACATCTTACTTTTTTCTCTCATTACATAATGTTTGGGAAAGAGAGATTTAAATCATGTAAAAGGTTGAGATGAACTAGTGGAATAAGAAAACCTTAATACAGAAGGCTTTCAAAACTATGCAGAACAAGGGGAGACCATTCAATAGTAAATAAAAACATTCTTCAGTACATTCTAATCTTAGCTCCCTCAAGAGAACTTTTTTTTTTTTGGTCCAAGAATCTATCAATTAGCATTTTTGCTACACAGAGTCTTTATCTGTGTGGGAGGTTGAATAAAGCTTCTCCTAGCCCCCTGTCCTATATCCAATAGACTTGACATAGTGACTAGCAATCTTCAGCGGGAGAGATTATCCTGGGTTATCTGGGTAAACCCTAAATATAATTACAAGTGTCCTTACAGGAAGCTAGAAGATATAACTGTAGGAGAGAGGAGACTGTGACTAAGGAAGCAGAGATGGAAGTGGTATAACTAGGAGAGAAAAATGCTGGCAATCCCAGGAAGGCGAAGAAGCAAGGGTCTCCTCAGAACTCTCCAGAAGGAACTGACCCTACTGGTTTTAGCCCGTTAAGGCTCATTATGAACTTCTGAGCTCCAGAACTGTAGGAGGATGAATATGTGTTAAGTTACTAAGTTGTGTTCATTACCAACATCTACAGGAAACCAGACCTCTAAGATCCTTCTATGATTTGAGAAAAATGTTTTGTACGGTCAGCTTTGTGAATTTTTATTTTGAAGTCTTTGTTAAATAGGCATAACTTAAAAATCATTTTTCATTAGTTATTTGAAATATAACATTCTTTGTTTTAACTAAACTGTCAGATATTAGTAATGAAATCAGTAAGAGGCATTAAACACTAGTGGTGATATTGCTTGTAGTTTCTTTTAGCAACTCAAAGGAAAACATTCAATATAATTAACTTCTACATTCAGTTAGAAATTCAAAAAACACAAGAATCTTGCAGAAATCAGCTGCCAGATTTATTAATCTACCCAAAAAATTAAAAAAAATAAAAATACAACCAAACAAAAAAGTAGAATAAAGACAAAACTTAAAAATAAAACTTTAGATACATTTTCCCAAAAGTTTTAAAATGCAGTAATGCAGTATTTTGAACCCTTCTATATTGGAAATACAGTTAGCCAATTGCTTATTTAGTTCAGTGAGTCACTACCTTTAATAGCTATATATGTATATATATAGTTTGCCCTTAAGTATCATATAATTAATACCATATCTTTCATTGATCCCTTAAGGATAACTCATGGCCCAATTCCTCCTCACTGAGTGACTAGGACTAAGATATTAAAAAGGGGGTGGGGAGGAAAAGAGAAAAAGGAAAGAGAAAGAATCCTCAAGAGATTTTTCATTTAGAAATTACTTCAAAGACCCACTTTAAATTTTTCCTTCAGTTTCACCAAATATCCCAATCATATACCTCAGCTCTCTTTCCAACAAAAATTTCAGATTATTAAAATCTGTTTTTATTCTAAGTGCTGTAAGTGTCCACATGAATACTGGGGAGGGGTCTGAGTTTTAAGGCATACTTATTAGCCCATCGAGGGCCAAATGATAAGTGATATGTACATAGAACAGTCATTAAAATCACTGATTGTTGAAATTAGAATTTTTGAAGGAACAAATGTGCATAGCATTGATTTTGATATGTAGGTTTCCCAATAATTGTCCCATGTAGGGCAATAGCTGTGATCTGTGTAGTGTTGGGATGTGGATAGCTGGAGGTTGTCTTTAAACAGTCTTTCTTTTGCTGGTCATGAAATGCTTTCATGGGTCTATTTGAGCTTGTGTGTGAGGATTTTCTTTTTTAACATTGCTACAGACTGAAGTAAGTTGTTCCTCTAGAATGTTAATGGATTGAACAGAATTCATGTTCTTTGCACGAATGTTTTAACAAGCTACTTTATGATACGATAACACCATTTACTTGTTTTTTTCAGAATGAATGGAACAACATATCCTGGTTTCAATATTTTCTCCAAATGCAAAACAAAAAAATCAAAACCAAACAAAAAATCCTTTGAAACCACCAATCTTTAAATCTTCTCTCAAACAATCCGATCGCATTTCTAGGAGTGTTCAAAACGAGATGATGGATAATATCAGTGCCAGCACTATGTCATACAGAACTTCCTCATATTCTTTAACAGTTTGTAAATAATTTTCCATGTCACCAAAAGTTACAAAAGTTTCCACAGTTTCCCTTAGCAAGCTGAAGCTCACTCTTCATTTGTCAATGTGCATAAAAGATGCTTATAGCATAGCATGGCGTAAGCTATTTTTTTTTAAGCAATAAATGGTTTGAGTCATCTATTTTGTCCTGAAATGCTATCTGTAGTTATAACTGCTTTGCTTATAAATGGTCATAGTAAATTCAGCATGAAAGAGAATATTAGAGAAAAGACAGCAGCAAAAGCATTAGCATTGTCTAATATTTATATGTTATTAACATAACACAGCAGTAAAACGTTTAAATGCATATCAATGGGTACCGTGTCTAAAAATTACTATAGTACCTATTTAGTGGAGTGGATATTTTTCTTAAAGAGTGCTTGCTGTAACTAGAACAGCATAATATGTGATTTAGTACAGTTCTTATTGATTAAGTAATGTATTTATGTACTGAAGGAAGTAAAAGGAGACAGGTTATTATTTTTTTTTGCTTCATTGTGATCCCAGATTTAACATTTAATTCAAGATTACAAAGAACCATGACATGTATTACTTAACTGAAATAGGCTTCAAAATATTTAAAAGACAATATGATTTGTATCTAAAGAGCAAGGTGGCACCAGATACATGTAATGCTACTGGCCTGTGACTCAGTTTGGAGCCAGAGTCCAAAATTGTGCCCCTTGTTTACAGTCATGGCGATTATTCAGATTCAGAGAGAATTACCCATTTTTATGGTTATCCTCTGCAAGTCATATATAAAGCAAACAAAAAAAAAATGGCAAATGCAGTCACTAAATACCTTTTTACAAGAGGTGCAAAAAACAGTTATTTCTAACAATTAAACTGCCATTTACAGTAGAATTTTTTTTGTACACCTGCAGAGACTCACTAATGATGGGGAGAGGGGGATGCCCAAGGCAAATAGTCTCCAAGTGAATATTTACACAATGTGAAATTAACTATACCATAGATACCCAGAGAAAATGAACATTACCTTATGTTATTATGAAATCAAATAGATATGATATAGCTTCATCATTCTTAAACCTGCAGGACCCCATCCCAAGACTAAGTAAAAAGTAATTCCCACACCCCCTCAGCCCCTTCACCCATCATCTTCCTGTTACACAGAATAAATGTTTAGATTACTCCCACCCACCCTCAAATAAAGTGCGCGGTCCATGGCAGACCATAGAATAATACAACAGGAAAAGCCCCCTTTTGTATTATTTTTTAAAAATAAAATACAAACAACAAAAATAAAACAAAGATCGAAGAGAATTCATTGATTCTCTGTATCTTGAAGAAAAGGGGAAAGCCCAAGGATGCCCTGCTTGACAGTCACTTGTGTTAGTAGACGTAGCCTTCATTGTAGGGGTGAGGGTTGCAACAGCCCCCTTCTGGAATGTAGGCCATGCTCTCATCAAAATGAGACAGAGGCACAGTGTCCTCCTCATTGATGTGGCGCTCCATGTCCGTCTTCAGCAGTGGACGCTGATTGTCTGGAAAGGCCATGGAGAAAAGGGCTTCTGGATCACACACAAATTTGTAGACATATCTCTCTCCAGCCACCTGGTGATAACATGGAAGAGATAGACCCATCCTCACCATCCCCAGATAGGGAGGGAGAAGGAAGGGAGGGATGTGGTTTAATATACTAGAATGGATGAATAGCAAAAGAAAAAAAAAAAAGCAACCAACTTATGTAGACACACACAGAAAAGTCCTTATTTTGTGGAATAAACTATAGTTCAATCAAGGGAAGTATAAAATGTTGACCTTGAGTAATAATTAATTCATTCCAGATATAGCTAGGAAAATCAGCAATTTGCTTCTTTTACCATAAATGTGAACTTACATTGCTATTTGGGGGAAAAACAATCAATGATTTTAGTGTAAGCATTTCACACTGGAAATTTTTGTTTTAAAAGTAGTGTCTTTATTTATAAAAACCTATATCACTAAGGTATAGTGTCTCCTCTTAATATCACATTTCTAAAAGAGTAGAAAAACTGTAGTTTCAAACTTCAAAAGAAAAATGTGGTTTATTCCTGATAGGACTAGAATAGTGATTCACTGATTTCCAGGATACGTTGTTTCTTCTATTTTTTTTTTTCTGCATTGTGTAGTGTCATCTTAAAAAAAACAAAAAAACACATAGATGCATAGTTTTATTTAAATGAAAAATGGATCAAGAAGACAGCATTATTCTGGGTACAGCACTTTTAAAAATGAAGGCAAGATGCATTAGATGTAACTTAAGGATGTGCGTAAAGTGTCAAATTGAAGTAAGAAGTGTAAAAAAGTGAAAGGAATCTAAAATACACAATGTGTAGGGAGGAAATGAGCAAAAGAAATGTGACAAGTGCCTGAAATAAAAGACATGTAGCATAATTTATAGGGAGGAACATATCCCAAACTTAAATTTTAAAGAGTAATACTTCTGCAGAAAATTACAAAGAACTGAATGAGACAAAGATGCCTACCATTCATATACAATGTTGAGTACCTCAAAACCTGGGGGCTGGGGAAATGGACAAATGCAGTTCTTAGTGTTAACTTTGGAAGAAGCTCTGTGTGTGTGTAGTGCTCATAATTTCAGAAAGCTGAAAATGACTTATGCCTTGTGTCCCATGTAAAAAGGCACTGCTAGTTGATTTGTGATGTGGGGGACAGTGCGCTCATGGTTTATAAACTAACTGTGTGTGTTTGGGGAAATAGGAACAACTGTCAAAGAATCCTGCTGCTCTGAACTCAGACTTAGAACATTTTTGCCCTGAATTTAAGTAAAAGGAGCCATGTTACCAAGTCCAAGCAAACTGAATATTGGTTGGTTTGAGAGAGCAAACCAGCACGGTAATGTTTATGATTTGGACATGTTTCTTAAACTGCCCTTCAGTTTCCTGTCTTGTGAAACGGAGACAGGAAGGGCTCTTTGGAAACATGAGACTGAGAGGGAAGTTTCTAACATGATGCACAGCACAATTCATTTACTTTAATTCTTCATGCCAGGGAAATTAATTCTTAAAGATGAACTGGTGAAATGACCATAAAACTAAAAATAGCAATATCAGAAACAAATTGAGATAACAATTCTTAGTTATATTTATTTTTCATTGTTTATATTTTCAGAAAAAAATAAATGGTCTCCATACCTCTAAGTGTTTTGTAACCTATTTTGTTTTGTTTGGGGCTGCAGAGAAAGAGACATTTGCTTTAGGTACTGGACCTTTTTTAGTCTGGCATGTTGCTCTTGGCTATAATTAGAAGTGAAAAGTGAAAAACTCTTCACTGGGGGAATTGAAATGAACAACATGCAATCAAGATTACAAAAATCTCTTAAGACCCTGCCTTTATTTACTGCTTCCTTCTGCTTTTCTTCTGAATAAACATTCTTAGGGCTACTACTATATTTATTGGATTATGCTAAATATTGCTGAATTTAGTATAAGAGCTGACATCTAAGCAAGGGAAATGAGGTCTACCATTATTAGTAATGCAATTACAATGTGAAAAAGGCTGTACATTAAGCATACCCAAATTGCAATGCTAGAATGGAAAAAAGTAGGAAGTTTGTGTAGAGATGAATCAGAGCAAATAAGGAGTAGGTATCTTGTAAGCTGTGCTTTCAAGGACTCGATGTTTAAATGATGTTTTAACTTTTGTTAAATTGCAAAAGTAACAGAGGGATATTGGTTACTGACAATGCTGTATAAACATATCACCTAAAATATAACCACTGTTAAAATACTGGCATATATTTTCTAGGCGTTTTTCAAGTTTGAAATAGAACTGCACACATCATTGTCCGTGAGGCACAGCAAGCATTACTTGTACCATTTCTTATTTCTTTCATAATTACTGAAATGAAGTACCACTTTAAAATTTTTTACGTTTGGGCCCATTTGGTTATTTCTATTTGACCTTTTAGTTTTTTATGTAATTGTGTTTCACATATACATCTGTCCACATATCGTTTAAGTCAATGAACAAACACGGCAATGTGTGCATTTCTCCTTATGCCTTGGAAAATGTAGCCCCACATCAGAGCTGTGTGCTTTTTTGTTCTTATAAAGATGGCATAGGGCTCCTCGGAATGACTAGTGCACTAGAGTTTAATTAACCTTCGCAATGTTTTATATACAGACGGTCAAGGAGAGAAGAGCAGGATACTCTACAAAGAACTTGAGTGATACACTGGGGGAGTAAGGGCTGTGTCTGGGAGCAGCAAGGAAAATGGCTCCACATGGGTGAGGAAGGATGAATCTGGCTGTTAAAATTGTAAGGGGCCCTGGTTGTTGTGTTAGCTATAAGCATATAATTTTTATATGTAAGCCTGTTGAACAGCATGCCCTTCCTATGTCATACAGTGATACCCCAAAAGTTCTATCATACATAGCATTCACATCCAATTCCGTCAACTGGGGAAATCTAAGCAGTCAAGTAAGTAGATAAGAATACAAACTCAAGGCTGAAGGACATAATAAATATCCAAATGCTTTTTCTTTATTCATTCATTTATTTGTTACGTCCTTCAAAATGTTATAATTTTAATTCCCTTATTTTACCTTTACTTTTTTTAAAAGCGATTTTCAAATATTAGAGGGAGCTCATGAAACAAAATAAAACATATTGAATTCTGTTCTGCCAGACAAAGAAGACCAGATGCTTATTTTAAATAAATGATTTAGGATTTTAAACTGTCAGGTGATAAAATCAGGCAAGGTAAAAGAGTGGTTTTCCCTGAAAAGAAAAAGAGATGTCTGATGTTTAAGCATCAGAACAAGAAAAAAAAAATTAAGTTGCTCTATCATTCTTTATTTTCATCAGACTACAAACAAAAGTATTTCAAAAACATACGATTGAGGAGATGCAACAGAATAATGACAGCTGGAACTATATAGATGTAATATCAATAATGATACAACCTTTTTTTTCTTTGCTTACCATGTGCAACAAAGTGGAAACTTCCAGAAAGCGTATTACTCTCTATACAATATTATTGCACATTTGTCTATGGTGTCCGTGGATGTATAAATAGAAAAGCCTATATTACCAAACCCAGGAACTAAGTATTTGCTGAAATGAGTGAAAACCTTGCTTCAGCGAGGCAATGATATGTGGCTTTTAAAGTATGACATGCAATTAATGCGCAACATTTCAATGAATTTTGATGTTGTATTAATGGCTCACCTTTTGCATGATTCCCTTCTCATAATAATAGCGAAGTGAACGGCTAAGTTTATCATAGTTCATAGCTGGCCTGTTTTTCTGAATGCCCCAACGCCGGGCCACCTGCCACCAAAACAGAATTATATTGGATTGTTAAGTATTAACGTCTCATATTTCACAAAAATTAATTAATTACTGAATTACTCCTAAAACCACCAAAATATGTCCAAATCAGACATAAGTAAAGTAGCAAAAGCTATCGTGATCTGAATTTCCTCTGTCCTGGTGGAAATCAGGCGTGTAGTAGTCATTCTGAAACATCACAATAGAATTCTTTGTCACTATTGTTTAGGACAAAAAATTAAATGGAAATAAGGGAATGTGTTTACAACAGAATGAACAGGCTGCAATTCACCAAATGAGGCAAATTTTCCATTCTCAGATACATTATTTGCTTTTTCCTTCTTAGTTTTTCATCTGAAAACTATAGATTAAGAGCTGCAAAATGATCTCTTTGTAATGGCGTTTTATTAAAGTTATGATAAACCAAAGGAAAAAAAGAGACCCTGCTCAGTATTGTGCAAAAGAATGAATAAATGGGAGTGTGTGTAACAGAGGAAACAGTATACAAATTAACAAACTACACTACAAATAATTTTATTGCCTGAAGCAGCATCAGAATAAAATTGTTGCCAGCACCAAACTGGAGAATTAAACATTCATTTGGAGGACAGTAATTGTATGCTAAAAATAAGACGGAAGTGGAAAAGGTCACCATGTATATTAGTCCACGAACAAAAGTGTTTAAAGCAGAATGTTCACTTTGTTGTTTAGCAAAAATTCTCAGAACTTTTTAATATGTGGCTTTGGTGAAGTAATATATCTGGCTAAGGAAGAGTCCTTCAAAATAAAGATTTAAAAACATGCCTTGTTCCTTACTGTATATCTCTCCCTGTCTCACCTCATACTGGCTTGCTAAAGGCATGTTCTCATTACGTTCCACATTTTCTTAGTCTGACCAAAAGCTGAAGCTGCCATGCAAACCTACACAACCCCAAGAGCACATGATCTAATAGGGTTAGTGTGAGTTCCTTCATTTCCATAAAATTTCAAGTTGCTGCTATGTCACATATCCCAAAACAGCTTTTCTAAGAAGTCTTTCTATCACTCTTCCTTTTCTTAGCAGTAGCCTTTCTCTAGGACTACTTTTTTTCCTTTTAAAAACACTGATCCTTGCTATTTTGTCTCCTTTATTTACATTTTCTGAATGAAAATATAATCACATAAATCAATATACTTTCTAAGAGTAAAGAGGTGTGATGCAACAGGAACAAGATTAGACATCTAAGCTGACAATCACAATGGCAGACACATCTTAGTTTCCAAAGATAAACTTTGTTCTGACAATAGTGAAATGGCAGGGGGAAAATGTGGCAATGAGAAGTAAAAGCATTTTCTAAATAAAACATCTTTCAAAGACCTAATAATGGATGTCAGTCAACCTTCAGTGAAAATTATTTATTAATATCTCTGTAGCCAGGCGCCAGTGGCTCATGCCTGTAATCTTAGCTACTCAGGAGGCAGATCAGGTGGATCATGGTTTGAAGCCAGCCCAGGCAAATAGTTCATGAGACCCTATCTCAAAAAACCCTTCACAAAAAAGGACTAGTGGAGTGTCCCAGGGTGTAGACTGCGAGTTCAAGCCCCAGTACCACAAAAAACAAAACCAAAACCAAAAAACGCTTTTTAAATTAAACAATTATTCCTTAGTTCTTACTCATTTACAAATGATTCTTTTCTAGAAACTCACCAGGATTCACTTAGAAAATAAAACATCATAATAAAATTTAAGGCAACATTGTCGAGGTTTCTGGAGAAAATGGGATTTAAAAAAAAATTTTTTAAACACCATAAAAGTAGTCACTGGGCATTAGTGGTTCACAGCTGTAATCCTGCCTACTCAGGAGATGAAAATTAGGAGGACCTTAGCTCCAGGCTAGCCTAGGCAAAATGTTCAAGAGACCTCTCTCAACCTATGGCCAGGTATAGTGGTGTGCGCCTGTCATCCCAGATACTCCGGGAAGCACAAATAGGAGGATCACAATCCAGGCTGGAGCCAGCACAAAGCCTGTTTCAAAAGAACCAAATAAAACTGGCTGGTGATGTGGCTCAAGTGATAGAGTTCCTGCCTAGTAAGGGTGAGACCCCCAGTATGCCAAAAAGAGAGGGAGACAGAGAGAAAAAGACATTCTTACAGAGTTTGATTCTTATGATGCCAGCCAACTGTCAACACTGTGGATATTAGTCTACATTTTTATAACAATAAACTGTACCCTTAAGACTTGCTTTTAGTGTCATACTCTTTACAAAGTTGAAGGAAATGAGATAGTAATATGCCTGTGATATGCAGGCAAAAAATAAGCTTAAAATTAATAGGGAACACAAATAATTCCCAGGCCAATGAGACAACCCACCACCGAGAGTCCTCTCAGTGTCCATATATACCACCAATACAACTGTGTCCGGCACTGCTCAAAGCCAAGGCACAGTTTCCAGCATAGCATGTGAAAGATGGGGGCAGTGCTTTCAGTGACTTTCTTATACCTAGCTTTTGAAGGAGATATCAGGCTGTTAATGAGGAGCATAAAAAGCCAATGGCAGTGTGGCATTTGCCCTCATTGCCAAAAATTAAATTGGCAAATATAATATGTCAATCATTACTCATCTATCTATCATCCATCTACCTACCTACCTATCTATCTATCTAATAATTTATCTATGCAGCTATGTAACTACCTATTTATTTATTTATTCATATGGTGCTGGGATTGGAAACCAGGGCCTTAGGCAGCTAGGCGAGCACTCTACTACTGAGCTGTAAGTTGAGACTTTTTTTCAAAGTCATACTTGAATATGTAACAGCATGCCTGGAAACCACTATCAGGGCCTGACTATCAGACTTCCTTGTGCTCAACAAGCTTGAATGTTATCAAAGGAGTTTGACACCAAGTCTTATGGATGCCTTACTATGTTAATAGTTGTTTCCTGGAACAATTACTTATGATTATTGATTTATTTGACAAAAATATCCTATTACCTCAACTATCTCAAAAAGAGAGATGTTAAAGATTGTGTTTACTAAAGTTATCTGAACACACCATAAAGATAATTGGTGCACTTTTAGAGTTTCACTCAGTATCATACTAAACCACAAGATGAAATATGAAGAAATGGAACCATGAGTAAATCCAACAAATGGCTTCAGAGACACACTCAAAGGGACTACATAGTGGAGGGGAGAGGAAGACTGAGGCCCACACAGGCTAAAAAATTTCGCAAACCCTTTCCAAAGAAGAAAGTTTAACAAGACATCACAGTTATTGCCTGATGGAAGCAATTGCAACAATAAGCAATGCAGCAATCAGAAATGGATGTTTCATTTCGAACAAAAGCCTTGGGAGACATTCAGTACTTATTGCACAATTCCCATTGAGTTAGTTGCTATTTAGAAATGGTCTACTGGCTCTGAATTACTCCTCTTTCTTTTACTTTATGAGTCTGCTACAGAAAAGTTGTGGAAATGTCAGTTTGTTGTATGGAACACTTGCAAATGTATTTCTTCCCTGTGTTTAAAAATATCACAGAAACTCAGAATTTGGTGGAACTTAATGGTCATCTAGTTAAATCTTCTCTTTTACTTATTCAAACTCAAGCACCATAAAAGTCAGTAGATGCTATAAAGAACTTAATCACTTGCACAATTTTTATTATTCTGAGCAGATCAAGAGCTATGACCATAATTCAGTCATGTCTCCTATCTTAACGAATACATGACAAAAATAAAAATCTGTTTCTGTTCAGTTTATTTTAATCACAGGTGGAAGGAAATAACTGTTTAACTAATACAAATCCCTGTTGAATATGCTTAGCTCAAGTCTTTCAGCGATTATTAACATCTTCCCTGAAGTGAAGAGAACACATTCCCGTCATGTTAAAGGGCTTTGAAATTACTTTGTTAAGTATTTCTAGTCTCAATTTGTTACTGCTTCACATTTTTGTGGTTCTTTCACGTACTCATTTAAGTACATCTACAGAAAAACAAATTTTCTCTGACAGCCAAATTGAGTTCTAAACATACTACAAAATTTAAATACCCAAACATTTAGCCCACAGTAAATAAGGGGTGTTTTCCATTTCTGGTACTGAGTCCTTTGTAGGTGTTTGGGGGATGGGGGGGGTCTGTGTGGGTTTTTGATGTGAAGCATGAGAAATATTGCAAAGCCAACCTTCCAGGTACATCTAGAGCCTGATACAAACTGGATGAGACAAAATTGCACCAATAACTCCTCTTATTTCATACTTTTTTGTGTGGGTACTGGGGTTTGAACTTAGGACCTCACACTTGCTAGGCAGGTACTCTACTACCTGAGTCACTTCACCAGCCCTTTTATGCATTGGGTGTTTTTGAGATAGGGTCTCACACACTATTTGCCCAAGCTGGGATTGAATCGTGATCCTTCTCATATCAACCTCCCAAGTAGTTAGCATTATAGGCATGAGCCACTGGTGCCTGGCTAATTCTAACTTCTTTAAATACATGCTTGCAACAGAAACAGATCTTTCTTCACCCTCCCCCTTTCTCTGTTTGTACTGAATATATTAATTTAAAGGCGCAGAAAATTTAGGATATATGGGCTCAGTAGGCTCAGTTATAGATGTCCAATGTTTATGAAACTAATCACTCTGTGTTCAAAAACTGTGCAACCTTTCTGAATTTTTCAACATTGCTGGGGTGTTTAGATCCATTACCCAATACAATAATCATAGGTATGTTAACTAAAAATCTCCCATTCCTGTCTTGGTTAGTAAAAAAGAAAGTGAGTTTTAATAGTACCAGAGAAAGCATCTTTAGTAAGACACAAACATTTTACATAATAGTCACTTTTTCATGGAGGTACAAAATACTATTGATAGATAATGCTACAATAACAGTGCCCCTAAATATAAAGCTAGTCTTGGGGAGAACAAAAATTCAACTGAGAAATCCTTCATGGAAATACTCTATTTGTATGTCCATTGCTGGTAGAGGACTGGGGTAGGGGGACATTTGAACGATTAAACAAAAGTGTGCCATATATGCATATTATATCTATCTATATTCTATTATTTTGATAATTTCTTATGTACTATGGCAACATTTTAAAGTTTACTCCTACCTTCCAAAGAAGTATAACAATCCAGCTGACTTGAAACAGATGTCACTAACAAAGAGAAATGTTTCTACCCAGCCTTGCAAGACATTCTGAAGGTCTGTGAATTTTCCACTGTGGCCCTTGCATGCCTTCATCCCCACAGCTGCTCCTCCCTACCCCTCTTCCACATGACTTTGGTCCCTAAACATTCCTCTCCAACCCTCTTAATAAAATCCAGATTGTCATAATAATGAGTGCTAATTCAAAAGAACAATTCCTCCATCTCCATTTCCATTCGAAGCTGAACAACAGCGTACATCTCCTCTCTTCCCTAATAACCACAGTTTCTGCCTCCTTCCCCAATTTAGATCCTTCTTTAGAGACTTCTCTCGCCTGGACTTCCTGAATAAGGGCTTAAGCAAATGATGCTTGGGTTGATTTTCTTCAACAACAATTTTGTAGGATGGCATTCAATTGGAAAGGCCATGCAATATAGTAATAATTTTAAAAGTGAACATTTTTCTTTTTTGGCCTGCTTTTAATTCAAAAAGTATCCATAGAGTTTTAACATTAAAAAATTACATTTTTGCCATACTAATCAAATATATCAGTTTCTTTCTATTTTAGCATATCTATTTTCCCAACTAAAACTACTAAACCAACCTCTTCAGGTTCAATCAATTTGAACTCCATGCCTCGACCAGTCCAGGCAATGAAATGAGAATTTGAAGGGTCATCCAGAAGAGCTACCAAAAACTGCCAAAGCTGAAGTGATCCCCGTCGCTGGTATGTGGGTCCTTCTCTATACATGCCTGGCTCTTGTTTGATGTCCCCTAAATTTAAAAAAAAAAAAATTGTTACTAAAAGCAATATTATGCCATTTATATGAAATCAGTCATGAAAATGATTAAGCACAATCATTTTATGAGTATCTATGAAATGTTACTTTAAATGGATTTAAAATAATTAAATGATTGATGTAAGCCAGAAATCTGTACAAACTTACAGACATCTTCATATAATGTATTCAGGTCAATATAAATGCATGCTAGTGAAGAATAAAATCATAAAAGTCAATGACTTACAAAACTTTATATACTACCTTTTTTTTTAACCATAGTATCTCATCATGCTTCTTTTCATGTTAACGCCATTGCTCATTGTTCTAGGCACCACAGAAGAGGGAACAATCAACTTTAATCTCTGGGTATTTTATTTCTACAAATTAAATTCTGCAAACTGTAATTTGCAAATACTTTATTGACCTACACATGATAAACTATTGAGAATTTTCATGAATATATTTCAAAGCAAATGTAATAATATCATAAACTCTGAGTTAATTTATCTGTACCTTGTATAAATTAGGAAACTTTCATAGGAAATTCAGGGCATCCTGCATTATCATCATGCCATCTTTCTTCTACACCTTCATATTCTTTCATGAAGGGGTTGGGGGAGGCTACCACTTTTTCAACTAGCAACAAATAAAAATTCTCTCTCACTTTTTTAACCTCTTGTTTGTATTTTACTCATCTGAATTTAGTTTGCTATTCTTTTCCTGAACGTTCAATTAAGAAAGTATACGTGGAGTTTCTATTTTAAAAATCTGTATTTTTAAGAAAAATTTAGTTGTGCTGTCCTTATTTGGTATTCATAGAAAAAGATATAAAAATCTATTTAAATAGCAATAAAGGTGCTCTCACACTGAAATGCTTCTACTTATAAATCTTATCAGTTATCTAGGCTTTACAAAATAAGAAAAAACAAAATATTGTCATGATCACTGATTATTAACTTCTATCTCCAGCCAACCATCTCAAAAATATGTGGAATTGATGACACTGGGGATTGAGTATCTAGGTCCAGGCAAGTATATCATTAATGCATGTATCTCTCTTCCTCACTAAGAAAACAATTCAGACAGAATATATCCAAGCAGATGTGTGAATTACTTTTTTAAAAAAGTAATAAGCTTTCTAAAATTTTCCTGTGGTCAGTAGAAAGAAATATAATTCTTGGAATAATTATAGAAAGGGCAACACTTTAAAAAACTAAACCAAAATATAAAATTATTCTGTTAATAGCTGCTAAAAATCATTGTCATTTGGTTCTTAACTAGATAATACAAGAGTGTACCTTCATAATGATTTCAGTGACAGTTTTATTTATACCAGTTTTTCCATCTGAGATTTACAAATTTTTTCATGGAGGTAACTGAGCAATTATGCAGACAGAGTGAAATACTGTTAAATTTTATAGTTTCTGGGGTGCCTCTGCCTATAAATGTGACTGATTTGCACTGACCATATACCATAAAAAAAAGACCCCTTGTTTTTCTTTCTTCTTGTTCTCCATGACTAATAAAATGTAAGACAAATACTATCTTTCAAAAATGTTTTCTTAGTGTAAAATTGGAAAGTATTTAAAAGTTAAAGGGAATAAGTAATCAAGACAGCTAGTTCTCTTGACATAACATTAGTGTAACTAATGTTAAGGCCTATAGATTATTCTTACATATAGTTTTAAGATATTTTTCCTCTTGACTTGTCGTTACTAATTTTAACATTACTTAGAATATGAGGCTCGCCATAAATGAATGAACCTAAGGAACACCAATCCAACAAGTATAAGTTTTAAGCATTGTCTCATGTAAAACAAAAAAGCCTTATTTTAAGAATAGTGATGCCCTGCTAACAGGGTCAAATAGCACAGATCACACCTTTGAAACAAAGCTTAAACCATCTATTGTAGAATAAAGGCAAAAAAAAACGATGCCCGTTGGGGTTTCAACTTTGGGACCTTGAATAAATTTACCAATTTTAAGGGAAGCTAAAGAAACAGATTTTCCCAAGACTTGCCATACTTTCTGAAAAGTATAAGGATATTAAACAGAGCAAGAAGCTTGGAAGCACAGAGTAGTCTTCAAGTAACTAATTAGAGATTGAAAAGCAATCTGAGCATGTACTTTGCTGTTTAAATAATGACAATTAAAAACTCTGAGAGCTCCCAAATCATTACAGCCATGATCCCTAAAGTTGGAGCAATCAGCTAATCAGAGGGCCCCCGCTCGCTTCCTGTTTAACAATCAAAGCAGGAAACATGGAGACCACTCTGAAGAACCACTAAACGAATTAACTGTTCACTTTTTTACCCAAGCTTCCTCATAAATGCTGACTTTTGCCACCCTTGTCAACAAAAGAAGATTCTATCTAATTTGATGCTCTTTTTCTAATATCTGGGAACTTTTCCTTGCAAAAGCAAGTGATATTAAAAAGATAATGCTTTCCTAACTACTTTTTAGAGCAATTATAAAGAACACTACATTAGTAATGTACATGTTCCTGGGAGGTGAGGGGTAGGGGGATGGGAACAGGGACTAACAATCACTAACTAAATGGGCAGTTATATTGTTCCTGTGCTCCATAATGCATCTTTTCAAGAACAATAAAAGAAAGAGGCTGCATTAGTCATCAGTGCATCCATAGTAGCATGCTTTCTGCTCTGCTTTGTTAATTACAGGATCAGCTTTCAATAAATCTCAAATAACAAGCTGCATGTGCACAGCAGGACAATGGAAAGACCCCTCTCACTCTCCACAAAGCTCAGGAAGAAAGATACTCTGGCTGTATCTCCAAAAATGGCCTCTCTTGTAGAGCAAAGAAAAAGGGTTCTTACTGGAGGATGGAAAAGGGATTGTAGTAAATCAAGTTCAGAAAGAATTAAGTGCATGATAAGTGATATGCATAGGAATCTTTACGTAAGATGTCAACTGTTTTTAGAAGCAGGCAGGTGATCTCTTCATTCTCTTACAAAAATCAAAACTTGAAATGCAGTGAGAAACCTACCATCAAATTTCTCTGGAACAACACAGGTGTCATCATAAAATTGCCTGGGGCCTTTTTCAAACATACATCCTGTAGAGGGAAATGGGATATATTTATTCATGATAGAACATGAAATGTAGTACACGAGCACTTTACAATATAAACATTAACACAAAAATTGTGGTGGAAAATTGATTCTACCACCTTTCAGCCCTGTGGCCGTGGATGTATTATTTAATGCTCTTTGGCTCATCCTTAAAATGGGATGACACAGTAACGCCACCTGAACACCTTACCTGGCTTTTGCAAGGAGTAAATCACTTAACGTAGTCAAGTTTAGAATGGTGCCTAGCACACAGTGAGTAAATATTAGTTGTTTATAGTATTTCTGACATAAGCATCGACCTCACACAAATATTGGTAAGTCTAGGCCTTAGAATTTATCATCCCCTTTTCCAATTGCTTCTTAGTTTCATTATTCAATGAGAAGAGAGGGATATCAAAGTGTTGCCTTTTCCCTCATGCTTGAAAACAGACTTACTTTACTCTCTTACTTCCTTATAGAAATATCTGTGTAGACTAAACTTGTCATCTTTAATAGCCACGATAGGGTGGGGAACATGGCTCAAGTAGTAGAGTGCTTACCTAGCAAGCACAGGGACTCTGAGTTCCAACCCTAGTACCACCTGAAAAAATTAAAAGCTAAGATAAAAGGTAAAGGGAGGGGGAAACTTTTCCTTTTTTGCTGTAACATGACTAAGTCCACAAAAAAAAAAAAAAGCAGAATAAATTGATGGCTATTTAAGCATTTTCTCTCCCAAATATACTTGACTGTGGGCCTTAATCTAATTGTCATTTTGAATTACCAGGAAGAAATTTCATATAGTTCAGCTAGTTTTATTTCCTATGTATTGGTTTCTATGGTGAGTTCATAATACTAACAAAACATCCACCATGGTAATTACATTGCATTTGTGCAAACCTTTGGGTCTCAGATATTTTAGATTTACCAAATGTACTATTCTTTAAACTTCTATTAATATTATTCATATAAAATAACCTAACCTATAAGGATGCATCTAAGTCAATTTTACTGAAAAAACATTGAGGTTTAGGTCAAGAACCATGTGCAAATTTCCAGAAATCTTGTAGTAGAGACAATATCCAGATGAAATCATTTTTGCCTAGTGCTTTATAGATGTCAATATCCATTAAAGCAAAGCTTTCCCACCACAGTTACCACAAACATACTAGCAATCAAAACTCCTTCTATAAGCGTCTTACTCATTCCCATTCTTAACAATTATTTATCTGAATGTATAAAATCTAGCACAGGTAAAGGTGAGAACATTTGAATCTACTGTGTTTAACTTTAAAACTATGACTTAGGTTTGTAAAAACAAAACTGAATATTATTTGAAGATATATTTCAGTAAAATGCAGTACAGTGGGTTAATCTGTAAAGCACATGTTTACTTTAAAAGAATGTACTTGTTTGCAAAAAGGAACATAGAAATCCATTTTCAGCTGTTTGTATACACATGACTCATGTTAACAATCAAATAAAAGCTATCAGGGCCTGAATAATCATTCTTTTACTTTAAAAAGGAAGTTTTAAAATAATGGTTTTGAGAACATCAATGAATTATCCCAAAGAATCTAATGACTAATTAAGTGGTTCCATATTTGGAGTGTGTGATTATTTTGAAAGTTATTACATGGGATTTAGAAAATAGAGAACTTAACTTCTGCTCTGCTGGGATGAGCCAGGAAGCCTTCTTGCCTCATATAAATGGAGTGGCAGCTAGGCACTTCTGAAAGAGGAAAGAACACGCGTCAAAACCGTGTGTGTACAGAAAGAGCACTGTTATCAACAGATGGTGCACATAGGTAGAAAAGTTATAGAAATGACAAGAGTCCCCACGAGAGGAGTTTGTCAACATGTAGTTAACATTTTAGACAGGGCCGACACAAGAAATGGAAGAATAAGTGAGCGCCGATTCTCTTTACCAAGCATGGCATTCTAGATACAAAGTACAAAATCAACAAAATGCTCATTCATAGTTGATTTCTTGTACACTAAACAGAAATTACTACAGAAAGATAAAATATTTAAATCTCTTAAATTACCTTAGCCTTTTAAGGCAATTGCTACTTTTTTCTCATAAGAAAGATGATTGGTTTTCATTTTGTTAAGAACATAGGTCATATTCAAAACCCATGAACACAAAACAGAAATGTAACAATTTCACATCACTTATTACCCTAAGAGTGAGGTTTGGCCTACATGATCAAAGTATTTATCACTGAATAACAGATGTGGTTTGATGGCTCAACCTGAATCACAAGGATGACGATTGAACATGCTTGGTAGTTCAGATGTGAGAAAAAGAAAATAAATATGGATAGGGAGACAAAAAAATTAAAATTCAAACCCTTCATTCACTATCATTTAAGCTAGATTCTTTTTGATAAGCCATTAGCATAAACCATATGCTTCTATAAAATAAAAGGTTGGTTCAGATGTTCTCTAAATTCAATTACAGTCCTCAATTTTCTTGACTTTGAATACAGGGATTCATTCACATAACTAAAGGTAGATTCATGGTAAAGCTGATGAAACTTGAATTCTGGGACCCTTCACTTTTCTAAGAGTCCCTTCCTAATTTTGTAGCTAGTTTTTATTTTCTTTATCTTAAAGAAGATTCCCCATAGAGTTCAGATCCTACAAGTCCAGGGCCAGGCCTTCAGATAGGAAGTATAGGTTCTACAGAAATGTCTAAACGTATGTGATCAAGTCAGTTCTGTCATCTGTGTATATTATTAACATTTGCTTAAGCACATACCCAAAAGTTTCAAAATTCCAAAATAAGTGTGGCAATTGTGCCATTTAATACAAAAATATGTCCTTCCACACCTTGTAGTAAACACATAACCCTTAAGGCAATGAACATTTAAATGAATTTAAATCTAAAGACTCTATCTCTTTATAACTATCTATACACACACTCTATTGTTTCAACAGACAACTGACACTATTTATTTGACCCAATGGTAGTTATTAATTGGTCTAGAATTTTCCATTTTTAAAGTCAATATGATTTTTTTTTAATTTGCACAGTGATAAATGATTATATTTTATACTTTGGTCTTGTGATGAATGTCAACCAAAATATGAGGGATTTTTTGTCATAGAAAAAAGTTTGACTTATGTGCTTTTAATCAAAAATGTCTTTTTTTTTTTTTTGAGTGAAAGAACAGAGGTTTATTAAGCAAAGAGGAGAAAAAGAGAAGAAAAGCCCCCATAGGGGAAAGGTTGCAAAAAGGCTGAGCCCCCAACTATCTTACTGGTAATACAAAATACTAACAACACTTAAAATATGCAGTGGGCTAGTGGTGTAGCTCCATAGCAGTGACTGCAGAACATGTGTGAGGCCCTGGGTTCAATCAATACCCTGGCAGAAATAAAATAAAAGTGTGTAGGAATTGATAGCTTACAAATTGAAGATACTTTAGAATTTATTATCAAACATTTTATTACAATATGCCTTTTTTTTTATAAAAGGTATTATGTAGTATATAATTCTGACTCTACAAAAGGCCTGATACCAATATTTATAATAGGGTTGATCTTTTGGGTTGCCAAATAGTTAGCAATCCATTTTTTTCCAACTTCTTAACTAATGACCTTCAAATTAATTTTTAATGTTATTCTGATTTATTGCAAGGCATAAGGTCCCTCAAAGCAGCTGGGCCTAGAAGGGACAGTGTTAATGACTGCCATCAGCAACGCAGCTGCTCAGAGGCGAGCATTTTGTTGTACCAGGTTGACACCCTGACGCAAAATACTTTTACTGACTGCTGCACACCTGGAGGTCGGCTGTAAAAACAGCTGGCTGGCTCTGGAGGCAGCTAGAGTAAAACATATAGGCTAAACTCTATTACATGGAAGTGTGACTAAATGCAGTCTTTCCTTCCCAGAGAGGGAGAAAAGGAGAAGAGAAATACAAACATTTCTGAGAACTGTATTATTCAAACCTGAAGGAACACCTCATAAAAGTGGTCTAGCATCGGAAGAAGTTAGCGTAACTCCAGAAAACTACATATTTTACACCAAAGAGTCAATGTGCAATTTCACTAAGACTCATGTATCTATTGAAATATCTCATTTATTTATTACTGTACTTACTCTTCAACACTCTTCAAAAATTCTAGCTATTCATCTGTGAAATGTAAAATATACTGATTTAAAATTCATAATAAATTAATGACCTGTAAAAAGACTAAAGCCAAAATCTTTGTTCTATTTGCAAAGGTCCAACTTGTGAATGACAATTTAGAAAAAAGAATACATTTGTGGGAATATAATTGTGTTTCTATCAATTCCTACTATGATTTCTTCTAGGCTATGGTAAATAAAATTAGCATCTAGCTCTAACATTGAAACTCTTGGCTAGCATTATTTAAACCTAGCCTATCCTTAAAATTGTGTCCTTTATATTGTCCAGAGAAGCCTGAAAAATATGGCCAAGAGGTTTATTCCCATAAAGTAACTAAAGTCATGTTATCCTAAAGTGATATCAGTTAATTTATGACTATCAGAGTGGGTCAGACTCTAATCAAATTGTAGAAACATTTCCAAAGTGATTATTCAATCAAATGACTAACATGGTTAATTAGGAGCCATAAACATTGCTCTGAAGTTCATCAAAGTAATGACTTGCCCAGAAAAATTACTGCTAATTAAATTGCCTGCTGCTTTCATTTCTACCTTATCTAATAAAAAATCCAACCAACAAAGTTTGACATTACATTTAAACTTTTGCTAAATGCTCAACTAAGATCCAAACTCGCTAAGCGGTGACTTCAAAGGCAAATGTTTTGTGGCAGGGAGTGCAGATATTGCTTTGTCATGGAGTGAAACTTACAAACTCAACAACAAAAATAAACTGTAGCCTGACCTATGGAAAAAGGACTAAAACAGAAGTTCACGCTGCTATCCTACTGGGTGCCACTGAATTATAATTTCAGGATCACTAGTATAGCACAGTGATTACAAAACAGCATGTTTCCTGCAATACATCTAGTTT